GCAAAGGGTCAATAGGTCTGTGAAGTACACAGGGAGAAAGGACATAGGTTAGTTAAAATTCCTTCATTTGGTGACTGGGCAGCCAATCTCCAGCTGCTGGACTGGTTTTTCTGTTATTTATTGCTAAACTTTTTTATTTTTTATTATTTTTGTGTGAGTGTGCCGTCAGATCAGATCTGACTGGTACAGGAGGAGATTGTCCCTTCTTCCCCGGCAGAGCATCTGGTGGATTTGAACCGTGCGCCTCTGGGATTGTAGTTGCAGCTCCTTGCCACTAGGCCACCAGTGCTCCCCTATTTATTGCTAAACTTTATCTCTTTTATATGGTTATTGCTCTTCACCTGCTGCTGCTCTTGGAGGTCAAGTGTGCTAAACATGTCTCCTGCTTTTGCTTAGTTTGTGTCTTCTTGGGCCTAGATCTGCCTCACAAAGGCAGCAGTCTCTGCCTATTCGTGTCTGCAGGCCCTTGTGGTACCATGTTCCACATGCAAGGCCAGCATACCTGTGGGGACTCACAGGGCAAGAGACCAGCAGTTCCAGACAACCAGCGAGCCTCTTTTCCATCAACTCAGAGCAATCCCAGGGACCCCGCTCCTGTCTCCATATTCCCAATGAAGAGGGAGGGATGTGCAGTTTTGTCTTCCCATTTCAAGCGTTATTCATTGTCCAGTTTTCACATGCCAGTGTTGTTGTTGTTATGTGCCATCAAGTCACTCATGACCCATGGTGACCCTGTGTACAGCAGCTCTGTAGCCTGCTCTGTCCTGAGCCAGTCTGACTCCGACACACCTAACCACACTGCCCCAGTTGTCATGTCAATCCATCTCATCCAGGGTCTTCTTCTCCTGCACTATCCCTCCACCTTTCCAAGAACAATGTCCTTCTGCAAAGACTGGTCCCTTCCCTCATGGCCACATGCCCAAAGGATGTAAGATGAAGCTTCAAAAATCCTAGCCTTCAAGGAGAAAACTTGGCTTCACCCTCTCCTGGATAAAACTGTTCGTTCTGTTGGCAGTCCATGGTATGTCAAATATTCTCCACCACAACCCCTCCCTCATGATTGACAGCCTTTGAAAATCTGTTGGAAGGTCAGCTATTAAGTGCTCCAACTCGATGGCACTGAGCAAAATGAAGGAGTAATGACGATGATCAATAACACCAGGTAAACACATTACTGAGAACAGTCACCAAAGGAGAGCAAAAGGGCAGCATCTGTCCAGGAGATTAAGCTCAGAAGGAAGGAGGAAATAGGAAAGGGCACATGGAAAGGAGAAACACTGGGAGCAACTGGGAAGCTTACAATGTGGGAGTTATAGTCAAATCATGAGACAGAAAGGACATGAATTGTAAAATGGAAAATCAATTCAGTCTGTAAACTTTCACTCAACTCATAACAAAAAGTTAAAAGCACACAAAGGTTTACGAGAGCCCTTTACCTGGATGGCTCCCTTGTTCTCACCACCTAGCTGGCTTGCTTCTGCCCCCTGCAGTCTATGTCAAGAGAGATTCTGCAACGATCCTTTTAACCTCTGTCAAATCATGCTACCCTGCTGGTCAATGCTTTCCATTCATTTCCTGTGTTGCTCAGAATAAAAGCCAAAATGGTGCTGCTCAGAGTAAAAGGCTGAGACGGCCCCACATGACGGGTCCTGCCCACTCTCCCGCAGGTCACACTCTTGTGCATTCCAGGCCAGTCACATCCTCCTCCTCTGAAGGGTCATCCCAGTGCCACCTGTGCCTACTGCTCCCTCTTCCCCTAGATACCTGCTTGGCTCACATCTTCACCTTCTCCAAGTATTCGGTCAAATGTCACCTTCTCAATGTGGTAGATCCAGATCACTCTCGCTGATTCTGCAGCCTGTTTTATGTCATGCTACCACCCCACACCCCTGATCTCAATTCTAATCTACTCTTTCCCTGTAGATAACCTTCCTTCCATTAGGTCATTCATTTATATTGTCCAAATTGTCTCCTGTCCACCACACCTACCAGGATGGATGCTCTACAAGGACACATTCTAAATTCCAAGAGCAGGCACCGCCCAATAAATACTTGAAGAGTCAAACGAATGATTTCATTATCAGTTTGGATGTGGGACAGATAGAGTGTCAGCTGATCTAGGTTGCTGGACCTGGAGTGTGGGTGGATAGCTAGGGGTACTGACTTGCTTAGAAGCAGGAAGCAGGAGTAACACCAGCTGGTGACCAGATACGGGAGTCATCAGCTGGGGAAAAACTAATTCCGTCCATAAGAGTCAGGGCAAATAGAGAGGAGACCAAAGTGGGCACCAGCATTTCAATAAAAAGACAGGCAGAGGAAGAGGATGAATGGACATTGTCCACCAGAGAGCAAAGAGGAAATTCAAGGGTGTGTGAGCTTACAGGAGCTCAAGGTGGGGGCTTTCAAGAGGGAGAAAGAGGTCAGGGCATGAAAAGACTGGGATCTATTGGATTTACTCACTCAACTCTTAACTATCTAGTCTCATAGCTAATTCTCTAGTGGGTTTTCTGACGCTGTCAATCACGGGGCAAGAAACTGTTCCCCTTTCCACCACAGAGCAGTTGGTGGATTTGAACTGACAGCCTTTGAATTAGCAGCACAACTCCCTGCAGACTACCCACCAAGTATACTCACCAGAAAGTCACAGATTATCCTACTGGGGAAGAAGATGGGGGAATAGGGCTGTCAGGTCAATAGGTGGTGGCGAAGGGGGCTGAGACCTATAGCATGAGCTGGACCCAGCAATGCTGGGGTAGGCCATGTTAAGCTTCTGCAAATCAATCACCCCACGTATAGAGTGGGGTTAGCACCGAGTAGTCCACAAGACTTTGATAATTAAATGAGATGACCAAGAAAATGAAAGGCAATAATGGGTGTTTAAGTGCCGATCTGTCAATGACCCTGCCGGGTTGGCTGCATCCCCGACACAAATTTACATATTCCGCAGGCCAGATCACTGGCACCGGGGCTAATCCAGCACTGATCCAAACCTTCTGCCATTCGTGTTGATTCCAACAAGCAGCGACCCAAAAAGAACAGAAGGTGACATCTGACCGAATACTTGGAGAAGGTGAAGATGTGAGCCAAGTAGGTGTCTAGGGGAAGAGGGAGCAGTAGACATAGAAGCAAAGGACACATCTTTCTCCTGCCCAGCGGCTGGTGGGTTCTCACCGCCAATCCTTCCTCTTAACCCCTGCTGCCCCCAGAGATCCTTGAACAACATAAGGAAAGCTGGCACCTAGAGGTGACAGGAATGAAAAGCCCATTTTTCGCACAGAACACTCCTGCCCCAAGGTTAGCAGGACTCTCAGGTCGGTCTCCTCCCCAGTGCCTGGCACACGTGGCTGCCTCCTCCCTTTCGAGGCGCCGCACCTGTCGCCCCGGGTCACATAAACTTCACCTGCCCAGGAAGGTGCGGTCCGCAGTCTTCACTAGTTTCGATAAGACCAAGTCCTCCAAAGAAGCCTCCCGCCTCTAGCAACCACTCACCTGCTTTTCTCTCCTTATAGGCCAGCAAATTTTCGTTCTTTTTTTTAATTGGTCCGCGTAACTCTATTGCGACCAATCAATAGCAGCCACGGGGACCCAACTCATTCCCATACAATTTCGAGGGGTGCATAGAGGAGACAAATTTTTGTTTCTGCACCTAGTTTTCCTGGGAAGTTCCTTAACTATCAAACTTTTGGAATACGCCTCTGGGGAGCTCAAATATTTACTTTCACTGGACATGTAAAGTCTGTCCTTTACAAACCCTTCTGAGTGTTACGACCTGCACCTGGCGCCCCTGTGCGTGTAGCTGCTAAGGGCGCTAGACTCCTTGGCCGGGTTAAGTCCCGAGCGGCAGAGGCCATACCATCTGGGACGGATAAATAGGGGGACTCTGCCTCCCGACTTTCCCTGATCCGCTCCGACCACCTCTCGTACCGCTTGCTCAGCCCTGCCCCACGCACAAGAACATCATCTGCAGCGATGAGACTCTTACTCCGGGCACCATGGAGGGTGTGCAGTGCTGGCGATGGGAGGGCGCACTTGGTACGACCCACGCCGCGCCCCGAGCCGCCGGAAGTGAGGTGTCTCACCCTCGAAGTTCCGGCTCGCAGGGGGTGGGAGTGTTGTTAACCGGAGCGGCCGCCGCAGTCGCGGGATTGAGCGGCCTCGCGGCTCCCAGCTGCTGGTGAGTGAGCCCATGTCTGGCCTGGGTTGGGGTCGGATTCGGGGCCTGGGTTCTCCCCAGAGGCCTCCGAGGTCCGCTCGCCCCTGCAGCCCGCTGCCAGCTTTCGGCCTGTCAGCTGGCTGGGGACCGCCGGCGCCGCGACTCGGGGTAGCTGCCCCCCCCTCCCGGGCCTGCGACTCTCGCAGCTCCTACTGCTCGCAGGTGCGCGGACCCCTTCAGTCCAGCCGCTGCACCCTTCCCGGCGGCCGTTTCCCGGGTGCCCCGAGTTGACACTGCCCGGGGGCTCGGGGGAGGCCAGGGTTCCAGACTGACGTACCCCGCCCACTCCTGCGGGGCGCGTGGCCGAGCTGCCCACCCTGGCCGAGCTGTCACCGCGCTGCAGCCGCCGCCGAGCTGCGCCCCCCGTGCCTGGCCACCTTCCTGCCCCGCATCCCCCTTGTGTTCCCGCCTCCCACCCCGGCATCGTCCTTGGAGGGGCCTCGGCGGCAGTTCCCTCCTCCTCCGACCCCGTTGTCTTTCCTTTCTGCCTCCCCAAAGGAGGCGAGCTGGCAGGCCTCGTGGAGAGGACCCTAAATTTGAAAAAGGACTGTCCCAGGTTCCAGGCCTTGCGTCAGTGCCATCACTTAACCCTTTCCAGTGGCAAGTTTCTGATTTGCAAACTGGGAGTGGGATGTGTGCAGTGGTTTTGATCTGTCAGGCTAAAGTGGTTTTTTTTCTTTCTCCTACTTGTTGACACACTGTCAGCTGCTGCTCTGGGCTTGCACACAGTGGCTGTCACGTCCCTTAGTGGCCTGCCTTTTCCCACGTAGGTCTCCGGGCCAGGGCGATGTTCCGCACCGCAGTAATGATGGCGGCCAGCCTGGCGCTGACCGGGGCCGTGGTGGCTCATGCCTACTACCTCAAGCACCAGTTCTACCCCACTGTGGTGTACTTGACCAAGTCCAGCCCCAGCATGGCCGTGAGTTCAAGGCTGGGAACGGGAGGGCACCCCCTGGGAGGGGAGGAGGTGACCTGGGGTGGGGCTAGACATCAGGTAAGTAGGAGAGAGGGGAAGTAGCCCCCAGCTGCTTAACTTGGACTAAATGCTGGCGAGGATGGGGAGAGGCTCCTGAATGAGGAGCCCTGGGCAGGCGGCAAGCAGAAGGCAACTTCAGACCACAGCCTCTTCCCACCCCTAGGTCCTGTACATCCAGGCCTTTGTCCTTGTCTTTCTGTTGGGCAAGGTGATGGGCAAGGTGTTCTTTGGGCAGCTGAGAGCAGCAGAGATGGAGGTAAGGGGGGGCAGCTGCACAGGTGAGGGGCAGGGAGCTGGGCAGGCCGACGACTGGTTTCACAGTGCTTCCTGCCGGCCCCCCAGCACCTTCTGGAACGCTCCTGGTACGCGGTCACCGAGACGTGTCTCGCCTTTACCGTCTTCCGGGATGACTTCAGCCCCCGATTCGTTGCCCTCTTCACTCTTCTCCTCTTCCTCAAGTGTTTCCACTGGCTGGCTGAGGACCGGGTGGACTTTGTGAGTCTGGTTCAGGGCTTCTCTGGAACAGGTGGAAGCAAGGGGGTGACCGGTGGGCAGGCTTGTGAGGTGGCTTCGCTGATGAACCCCCTCTGCTTTGTCTCAGATGGAACGCAGCCCCAATATCTCCTGGCTCTTTCACTGTCGCATTGTCTGTGAGTGACGTTCTTGGGGCCTGAGGGAGGTGGGAGCTGGCGGGAGGAGAGGCAGATGGAAGACTGGAGGGGGAGAACTTGTGAGCTGTGGGTCTGTACCCCTGGACACAGGCCGGCCCTCAGCCCACAGCTGTACCGGAAGGATAATTTGGGAAGCTAATTTGCATGTCTCTCAGCCCTGTTCCACTCCAGGGCTTCTAACTGTCTAGGCCCTCAGCCTCGCTCCCCTGGGGCTTGTGCTGCCCCCAGCACCTCCTGAAGCAGAGCTGACGTTCCCAGGGGGCTGGGTTTGGGGGGTACGGCCACCATAGCTGGGTCATGTGGGAACTGTCCAAGGACGTGACTGTCAGGCTTGGGCTGATCCCACCTCCCCCCACACTTCGGGGGTCCTCACAGCCCTCATGGTCCTTCTGGGTGTCCTGGACTTCCTCTTCGTCAGTCACGCTTATCACAGCATCTTGACTCGAGGGGCTTCTGTTCAGCTGGTGTTTGGCTTTGAGGTAAAACTGCCCGGGGATGTCAGAGGGACAAGCCTGAGGTGACACAGGATATGCTGGAAATACTCCAGCCAACCCTTATGAAGCACCTGCTCCGTAGCCAGGGAGCACAGGTGTAGTCTGTGGGGAATTGCACTGCTAACTCAGACAGAACCTCTCTGCTAACTTGGATCCACCAGCCGCTCTGTGGGAGAAAGATGGGCAGTCTCCTCCCCTGCCGTTCACAGCCTTGGAAAACCTGCTGCAGGCTCAGCGACAATTGTAGGTCCAGTCTAGCTCGATGAGGATTTAAGAGCTCTGTAGCCAGCCCTGCCTGTGAGCTCTTGGGTAAATAGGGAGGACCCAGAGAGAGCGTGCTGGGCTGGGTGTCAGGAACCTTCTGGGAGAGCGATGCTAGAACTGATTGGTGATGGACAGGGAGGGAATTAACTTGATAGACAGCTCGGGTGGCGTCCCCCTAGCTGAAGAGTGTTCACACTAGTTTGCTGTGTGCCACGTCCTGTGCAGAGAAGCACTTAAACTTACTCTAGAAGAAGTTAATTGTATCACTTGACCAGCAAATTGGGCATGCAGAAGTCCCAGCGCGTACCCTGAAGCCACAGCAGTAATAAATGGAGGCGTTTGGACAGCTCCTGTGTCCTGAGCAAGGGGCGCTGTGTTTAGGCCCCATGACCCTCCCATACACCATCCTGACTGTGGGCGCTGTGTTTATGTCCCGTGCCCCTCCAGTACGCCATCCTGATGACTATGGTGCTGACCATCTTCATCAAGTATGTGCTGCACTCCGTGGACCTCCAGAGCGAAAACCCGTGGGATAACAAGGCTGTGTACATGCTGTACACAGAGCTATTCACAGGTGAGGCGCCCTGGCCCTCCCAGTGTCCCCGCGCTGCGCCCCGGGCCCTCAGCTGACCCTCTGCGCTGCCCTCCAGGCTTCATCAAAGTCCTGCTGTACATGGCCTTCATGACCATCATGATCAAGGTGCACACCTTCCCGCTCTTCGCCATTCGGCCCATGTACCTGGCCATGAGGTGAGGTTAGCCCTGCCGCCGCCCAGTTGGCCCGTACCAGTCCTTCTCTCCCCTCCTCCTCACAGCCGGACTCTCTACTTTCAGGCAGTTCAAGAAAGCTGTGACCGATGCCATCATGTCTCGCCGAGCCATCCGCAACATGAACACACTGTAAGTGGGATTGTTCCCCAGTCTTCACCTGGGTCTCCCTGCCTACAGCTGTCGTCCCAACCTGTGTCCGGTCCTTAACAGGTACCCAGATGCCACCCCAGAAGAACTCCAGGCAGTGGACAACGTCTGCATCATCTGCCGAGAAGAGATGGTGACCGGCGCCAAGAGACTCCCCTGCAATCACATCTTCCACACCAGGTGGGCGGCCCTGGAGCCTGGTCGGACCTGCAGGAGCCACGGCCCCTGGAACCTGCTGACCACTGTCCACTTTGGCCCACAGCTGCTTACGCTCCTGGTTCCAACGGCAGCAGACCTGCCCCACCTGCCGCATGGATGTCCTTCGGGCATCACTGCCCACCCAGTCTCCGCCGCCCCCTGAGCCTGCCGACCAGGGACCACCTCCTGCTCCCCACCCCCCGCCACTACTGCCCCAGCCCCCCAACTGTGAGTGCCCCCCACATTGGTCCACACAGCACACTGCTGGTCCTTGCCCTAGGCTGGGTGGGGGAGATGTCGAGGTGACCATGGCTGGCCTACAGCTCACAGAGGCTTAAGGGGTGACGGACCAGAAGGGATGGTGGCACTCTGTGCAAAGCTGTTGAGTTGCAGGCCAGCAAGGGGCCTGGGGGGTGCAGGGACAGTGCCCAGCACCCACTTTTTGTTTACTCCCTGTTCTCTCTCCACAGTCCCCCAGGGCCTCCTGCCACCCTTTCCTCCTGGCATGTTCCCCTTGTGGCCCCCCATGGGCCCCTTCCCACCTGTCCCACCGCCCCCCAGCTCTGGAGAGGCTGTCGCACCTCCATCCACGAGTGCAGGTGAGGCTCCTGGGTCACGTGACAGCTGTGGGGTGAAGGGAAGCCCGGGTCCCATGGTGCTAACTGTTCTGCTCTTCAGCAGCCCTTTCTCGGCCAAACGGAGCAGCCACACCAGGTACTGCTGCTTCCACTGTCGCCGGTGCCACTGCACAGGCCCCTGGCTCTGTCCCTGCCCCTGAAGCTGGCCCAGCTCCCGGCTTCCCCTTCCCACCTCCCTGGATGGGGATGCCCCTGCCTCCACCTTTTGGTAAGTCGGGAAACTGTCCGGCCGTTCTGCAGTGGGATGGGGTGCCAGGCCTGGCAGCCAGGCTGAGCCACTACCTCTCCCCAGCCTTTCCCCCGATGCCCGTGCCCCCCGCGGGCTTCGCCGGGCTGACCCCCGAGGAGCTGCGGGCGCTGGAGGGCCACGAGCGGCAGCACCTAGAGGCCCGGCTACAGAGCCTGCGCAACATCCACACGCTGCTGGACGCCGCCATGCTGCAGATCAACCAGTACCTCACTGTGCTGGCCTCCCTGGGGTGCGTGTCACAGGGGACGGGCATGCTCAAGGGGTGCTGGGGAAGCTGCCGAGAGGAAGCCCCGGCAGTGCCTCTTGACCTTTGTCTCCCTGCCAGCCTGCGTCCAGGGCCCGAGGGAACTCCCTTTGCCGCCCCCCCCCCCCCTTCATAGCATGTCTGGGTGCTGGCAAGTGGGAGTGTTGTGCAGTCAGCAGCGCACTGGTTGGAATCACATTTTCTGAAGTCAAATCATTGTCCTAGTTCATCACAGTCAGCAGGGAACAGCCTCCTGGCATATGAGGACACCGGCTGTGACTCATAGTGACCTTATGAACAGCTCTGAACCCTGCCCTATCCCATGCAACCCTGACAGTCTCTGCTGTGCCTGGGCCTGTGTTGCAGTCACCATGTCTATGATATTTCAATGACGGGTGTGCTCTTCAGCCAGTAGATGGTGATCGCTGAGAGCTAGTGTGGTCTGAGACCTACTTGGTGGCTGGCTCTATTACTTTTCCTGGAAAGGTGTAACTCCGGTCCTGGGTCACATACATGCCCAACACCAAGCAGCACAGGCTGTGTGGAGCTGGAGACTGGGTCTTATTCTGGAGAGTATGTGTTCAGTGACAGCCCTCTCAAGGCTGGTCTCTGCCCCACCAGAGAGCAGCTGTCGGCCCTCAGCAGGATTCAGTCAGTGCCCAGGCTCTGCTGGTCACAGGCATCAGTGCTGGACTCTGCCCTGCCAGACTCACTCTGTGCTAGACTTTGCCAGCCCCAGGATGCCACGGTAACATGCACCTCTCCTCTTCCTAGGCCCCCTCGGCCTGCCGCTTCCGTCACTCCTGAGGAGGCTGCCCCTACGGTGGCTGCTGCTACCTCCTCCACTAGTGGCCCTAGTTCTGAGGCCACAACCCCATCCTCGGGAGCCTCCCCACCAGCCCTCGAACCTGAGAAGCCTCCAGGTATGTGTGGTCCGCCTCCAGGGGCGGGGTAGAGGACTCCGGGCTTCACGTCTGACTTCTCTGTCCTTGGCTCCAGAGTCAGTGGGCACTGAGGAGCTGCCCGAAGACGGGGAGCCTGATGCAGCAGAGCTCCGCCGCCGGCGTCTACAGAAGCTGGAGTCCCCTGTTGCCCAGTGACACTGCCCCAGGCCCGGCCCCAGCCCCATCCCTGCTCTCTTGAGCAGCCCTCGCTGGAACACGTCCTGCCACCAAGTGCCAGCTCCCTCTCTGTCTGCACCAGGGAGAAGTAAACCCCAGCTCTGAGGCACGGCCTCCTGAGCCAAGTGGAAAGAGGCGCAAGTCCCCAGCTGGCTCCAGGCAGCCCACCCCAGGCAGCTGTGGCGAGCTGGAGTGGTCCCAGCCCTCGTCCTGCTAGGGCCTGGCTGGGCTGAGGGCAGAAGGCTCAGCCTCTGTGAAGCCCGCTACTCCAACAGTTTCTGGGAGGAAGGGCAGCCCCTGCAAGCCCCACCCGTGTGTGTGGAGTCACGCTGCAGTGCTGAACAGTATTAGCTCCTGCGCCTCAGTGTGGACTCGAGGGGGTGGAGGCAGGCCAGGGGCTCGCTCCTGGGCTCCCCACCAAGACTGATACCGAGTCCCTTTTCTCCCCTCATTTCCCCAGAAAGCCCTTGTGGTGGTGGCTGTACCCCTATGCCCTGTGGCATTTCCATGTCTTACTGGCAACCACACAACTCAGGGAAAGAAGTGCCTGGGGGTGGGGGACAGGCGGGCAGCACTGAGGGACCCCGCCCCATCCCTCCCCCAGGCCCCTCTTCCCTCTTCTCCAACAGAGACTGACCTGGTCTCACCCAGCAGCCACTGCCCAGCCTCACTGCAGGCTGAGGACCAGTGCGCCTGCTCCTTAACCACTTCAAAGCCCAGCGCTGGAGGAAGGCCACTTCTCAGCCTGTGGGGCTTCTTGAGAAGAATTGGAATTCCTTCCTTCCTCGTGTCTCTGGCTTACATGTTGTCCTTTGAATTTGAATGCTTGACCCCAGGAAGGAAGAGCAGGAATGCCAGGCTCCGGGCCAGGGAGGGACCAAGTCGGCCTGCCCATGTCTTCTCCCCCCTTGGTTTTGTGTTACAAGAGTTGCTGGAGACAGTTTCAGATGATTATTTAATTTGTAAATACTGTACAAATTTTAATAGCTTAAATTGTATATACAGCCAAATAAAAACTTGCATTAACAGGAATTGGCTGTGAGTCCTTTCTGAGGCTGAGGGCTTGGCATTCCCAGGAGGCACATCGCTGTCCTTGGGACAGTGTTAACTGGTCACTAAACTACTGAGAGGGCAGACCCAGTCTCCCCATGAAGAAACTTGAGTATCTGGGAGATCAAGTAGGGGCACCGGGATTTGGTCCACCTTAGCGGCCTGGGTCCTGGAGTGGGCAAATGTGTGAAAGCTAGCCGGCTTGGTGTGTGACAGCAAGTGCAAAGCGCCACCCACCCATCTGGCTACAAACTCCTTTCCAACCCTGACAGCAGAGGGCAGTCCGGTAAGGAGCCCCTCAAACTCCCCAGCACCCCTGTGTGCTCGGGTCACCTGAAGCAAACCACTAAATTGGCTGGAACTTGTTACTCCCGATGGAAGAGGGACCCCAGCTGGGCCTTCTGGCTGTTGTGGTCAGGGCACTCCTGGACAGTAAGACCTCCAGGACAGTATCTGAGTCACCTACCACCAAGCCATGTCTGGCCTAGATAAGGAGGGGTGCCTTGTACTGCGCCCCCTCTTAAACTGGGTGGGCTACTCCTTCCATTAGAAGGGCAGTTGCCCCTCCCCAGATTTTAACTAGCTGAGCCCAAGATGTTTTAAGAGAAAACAGGAACAGATCACAGAGGGGAGAACATGAATGTCCCCCGCTAGCCTGGCTGTGTTTACTGGGTCCCTGGTACACAGCCATTCCCCTCCTGGCTCTAGGCAGAGGTTCCCCCTTTTCCTTTATGCAAACAGGGCCAGGTCCTGACCCTTCTGCCTTGACACTACTGGCCATGCCCTCAGCCCTGCTCTCTGTTATGCCTTCTTCACGCTCCCTGGACTCCAGTATGTAGAAGACGCGGTCATGCAGGTGCTGAGCTGGGCTTCAGAAGCCCTTCTCCAGAAGCCAAGCTTTGAGCTGCTTGTCAAAGTAGCCCTTGACTCGTAGAGTACCTGTCACCTCATTGACTTGAGTGATGGGCGTCTTCCCCAGCAGAGGACTCAGAAAATCCTCCACATCCTTCTGCAGGGCCTGAGGGAGAACAACAGTCAGCCTGACCCAGCCCCTCCCCTCTGGAGGCCAGAGGTGTCCCAGTCTGCAGAGTCTGCCCCCTCCACCCCGAAGGGGTCAGAACCCACTTACCCAGATGTCCCCTTCCACCTTGCGGATCACTGTCATGTGGCGATTACCGTGCGTGATGTCTGTGTAGACAGGGATGTTGTGCATCCGAGAGCGCCTCACAAAGTAGGGCAGCTTGGGTGCGGGGTCTGTGACAGGAAGGGAGGGCAGTAAGCCAACTCCTGCCACGCCTCACCTCACCTCATTCAAGAGCCTGGAAGCCTGGAGCCAATTAGGTGCTCAATAACTATGGTATGCATGAGACATGAAGCCAGGGCCATGGCCTCTGGGTTTCTTCCTGGGGCCAATCTTTGCCCTTTTCCACCAACAGGCTGGAGACGTTAAAATCAACCATTTACAAGCACCGAACACTTAGTGTGTGCAGCGTGTGCAAACAGATATCAGCATTCTGCTAAAAGGCAGGCTTAGAGAAACAAGGGGCTAGTCAAGGCACATCAGACCAGCAGTGAAACCCAGAACTGCCTAACTACCAAGCTTGTGCTCTTCATTCTAGTCCGTGGCCCACCGAAGCTTGGGGACCTAGGATCTTAAGTCCTCTCAGTGCGCTTCACTTCACTTCCCATCTGGAGAGGTCCCTGTCCCAACGGTAGGGAGGGGCACCAGGGAGAGAAGGCTCCACTCCTAGCCTACTCTCAGGTAGGAGAGAGATGGACCCTAGGGGATGTGCAATACAGGCCCTTCTCCCAGCTGTCTAGTCATGCCAATCCCCCAGCTTACCTTTGGGGGGCTGCCAGCCACTGGGAGTGGGGTAACTTTTGTGCTTTGGGGGTTCTGGAATGCTAGTAGGGGGTATCAGGCGCTCCA